CGACGCGTCCCCGCGTGCCCCGTGCCGCGGTGGGGTGGGACGCCTTGGTGCAGGGGGGCCAGGAGGGGACCACCAGGTCAGAGCTGCTGCTCCGGGGCCAGCGCGGACACAGTTTGGAGCTTGCGGGTGAGCTCTGGACCACAGCAAAGGGTCTTCTCCAGCCAGGGTTATTCCAGGTGATACCAAACTGCCAGCGGTGCTGAGAGGAACTGGCTTCGCTGGTGGGGAAAGCCTCCCGCGAGTTCTCCTTCCCATGGCTCCAGGAAGCCTCAGCCGCACGCAGGAGCCAGGTGCCGGGGGAAGCGCGGGCTGGGGATCACCAGCCCATCCCCAAAGCCTCCTCACCCACCGCGGTCCCCTTGCTCGGCAGGACTCGGCCCCATGCCGCTTCCCAGAGGGGAGGGAATCAAAAGAGGAGGGGGAAGGGAAGGGTCCAAGAGAAACTTCTTCCAACTTCTGGGGAAGAAGAAAGCCCTATTCAGGCGGGAAGAATGCCCGTGCAGAGCTGGTCACTAAGCAACCCGCAGCAATTCGGTGCACCCCGACACACGGGCAAGGATCAGCGCTGCCTCGCTGCCCACCGAGAGCCCACCGGGGAGTGCCAGGCAGGGAGAGCCTGGGCGCGGGGACAGGGGACCCCGCCGTGCCCCCCCACCGCGGGGGCAGGCAGGCAGCAGGGCCCAGAGCTCCTGGGGGCTCGGGAGCTGGTCCTCGGTCGGCGCTGGAGGGTGACCAGCCTCTGTCAGGCTGTCCCTTCACGGGGAGACCATGTGCTGCTCAGGAAAGGATGCTGCTCTGCTCCAGCTCCCATGGGTCCGGTGTTCACGCGGGGCTGGATGCGTCCTTCCCAGCAGGGGCACGGTGCCGTTCGGATAACCCCCTGCTCCCACGGACACCGCAGGGCTCGGACGGGCAGAGCAGCCAGACACAGGCTGCACCCTCTCCCCAACAAGCTGAATTCTTCCTTTAGATTATCAGCATGGGGGCTGTGCTTGGCAAGCAAGCTCACCGAGACAGGAGAAACTGCTCGGCCTCTCCGCAGCGCAAGGAGAACAGGGATGAAAGAAATCAGGCCTGACAAACCCTGCCGACAAACCATGCCGAGATGCCTCCCTCGGAGCCGGGGGGGTCCCTGGAGATGCTGCTGCCCCCAGCAGAAAGGCTGCGCAGCAGGAGAACTGCCCACCGCCAGAGCAGGGTCACTGGGACCAGTCAGCGTGCAGCTGGGCCCCAGTGCGGAGCCTGAAGAGCCTGGGCAGACGCCCTGGAAGCGGCTTTTCCCCCGCCTGGTGTCACGGGGGAAGCACCCAGCCGCTCACGCGTTCGTCTCCGCATCTGGTACACTGGGAGAGCCGCTGCCGGGACAGGGACAAACTCCCCCTGCGTTTACCCACTGCCTCCGGGAGGTGCTTGGCCAGCTCTGACCCCTCCTGCGAGGGCAGGGTGAACATCCCACCCCATCGATGGCACACACAGCAACGCACGGAGTAGCTGGGGGGGGGGCCTAATTAGTAGCTCCAACTTCATTTGGTCCTTTGCACTCCTTCACCCATCATAAGACGTTATCACATTTTTTCACTAAAATTCAAAGTTTTGCATCTACTAGCTTCTCACTTACTCTGTAATATGTTTGTAAGATTTTTTTTTTTTTATGTTTAAACACAATAAATAGCTTGGCTGTGGAAATCAATTCTGAAGGACAGAATACAGCTTGAGACATGTTATGCAGTCCTAGTGGGCTTCACTAGAAGTATCTGTTTGTCTGTCCTGCTTCACCATAGCAATACTTGAGCACTAGCTAGAAATTCAGAACGCTGACAGGCTTTCTGCTTCTTCATTCCTTGTCATTGCAATTAGGAATAGTTTTAGCATGTTTGTCATCCTTGGGTTTTTTTTTTTCATAGCTGACTTGATAAAGCTGTACTTTTTCAGTACAGCTCGGGTATGATGCCCACACAAGCTGCAGAGCACCCGCAGACGGAGGTGGTCTCGTTACCACTCCGTCCTGCCCTTCCCTGGCTCCATCCCCCACCATCCCCCACCAGCTGCCTTGGACACACACTCAACAACCACAGCCCACAGGGCTGCAGGGAAAAATCAGCTTGGCCGAAAGCGGTGTCATTTATTTTGCCTGTCAAACCCCTTTCAGAAGGCCGACACGCTGTCGGCTGGCTGGCTGCGGCCGGGCTCCTCTCCGCGCGATGGGCAGGCCCTGCAGCCAGCAGCGGGGACGGAGAGCACCCACCCGGACTCGGAGAGCTCCCACCTCCCCTGGCAGGAGGGCGAACACAGCGCCGGGAGCAAAGCCCGCCAAAGCCCAGCTACGCAGGGACTTGGCACCCCGGGACCGCAACACAGCATTGACGTGTCCTGCAGCCAGGGCTGCCCCAGAGCGAGAGGCACCAAGTCCAGCACGCCTGCTGCACCACGGGGAGCATTCGCCCGCCCGTGAGCTGACGGCGGTGCTCCTTCGGAGGTGTCACGGCAAGGCCACGCTGGGAAGCAGAAGTGAGACTCCTCCTCTCTCAGATTCAGTCAAATGGAAGCGTCCAGTCCACCCTTTTTATTTGCACGCAGCAGAGGGAGAGCAGCACCTCCAAGAGAAAAGTCAAGCTGTGACAGGATCTGTGTGTCCACCTCCGTGCGCTGGCTGCTGAGGGAGCTTACTTAGACAACAGACCCAGCTCGAAGATGGGCGCCGCTAATGGAGAGGATCCACCAGAACAGAAGCAGACCCAGCCTGACGAGCATCTCCTTGCAAAGAGACAAAACCTGGATGAAGATGCAGGACGCTGGACCATACGCTACCCAGATCCATCCTGGACTCTTCTACCCCAATACCAAGGCCTACAACCACCAGCAAGAGTCTTGCAGCACAGCCAGATGGGATGTCTTTGGTGGTGTGCTGCATTTTCTTGCGGTTGTTCTCCTGGTCCGTAGCATTTGCACAATTGTAGAAACATTCCGTGAGAACAGAGGTGCTGAAGGAGGGCAGTATCTTTGTGGGGATGAAACATGCCTGGAAGTCCAGAGCTAACCTTGGCTCTGGAGGTCCTCTTCTGTTCCCATTGAGGTGTTGTTGAGATTTCCCAGGCAATGGCCCTTGCCACATCATCAGGATCTCTGGTAAAGCTTCATGATATTCTCATCATGAAGCTTTTTCCACACCTGCTTCTCCAGGTTGAAGTCGTGGTTAGTGTAGAAAATGAGGCGTTTCCAGTCCTTGTCATAGTAGTGATCCGAGTACTTCTCGTGGCCCTCCGTGATGTAGCCATAGGCACTCACCTGGGAAAGATGGAGAGCTCACTGGGGAGAGGTACCAAGGACGGAGGGAGCTCAGAGAGATGCAGGGGACAGTTCCCACACAGGGAGGGAGCACAGGGCAGGGACGCCAGTCGGGGCTCCTCCAGGTGACCCAGCCCGGGGATCCAGAAGGTCCAGACTGTGAACTCTGGCTCCAGAGAGCCTGGTCTCCTCTCGCCGCCTCCCTGGCAGGCAGGATGGGTCTCAGGTCACAGCAGGCTTCACAGCCTCTATGTGCGCTGCTTTGGGGCTGCTTCTCTAGTCTCCAATCTGCTCCCTCATGGCTGACAAGAACCCGTACGCCCTCCTCAAGGCAAATGTCAGGCAGGGCTGCAGACACCCTTGCTCTGCCCGGTTATCCTGTCCCCCTTCCAGACAAGAACCATCATGCCCTTACCCGATCACAGAGATGGAGGGCAGTCAGCAGCAGGAAGGCCCCCGTTGTGGGCCTGTACAGACGCCAGTAGGGCTTTTCCAGAGTTTTAGATTTCAAAAACCTGCAGCAGGAGAGAAGAAAGCACAGAGCAGTTGCTGGGTGTGGTAGTTCGAGCTGGGCACACCTTGCCCCCTGCGGCCCGCATGGCATCTTCACAGAACCATCGAATGGGTTGGGTTGGAAGGGACCTTACAGATCATCTGGTTCCAACCCCCAGCCGTGGGCAGGGACCCCTTCCACCAGCCCAGGGTTCTCCAAGCCCCGGCCAGCCTGGCCTTGGACGCTGGCAGGGAGGGG